TGAAGACTTACAAAAAGATGAAAACACGAGAAGAGCAATTCTAATTAAAATAATGAAGCAAATGATTGAACAAACTTCCCCTAACCTCCCTAGTCCCCTCACATCCCATAAGCAAAAAAAAGACAGTATTTATTACAATTGTTACCTAAGACCCGTTCTACTTTCCAAAATGTTAATGTCGTCAAGGGAGACAGGATACTATCATACATTTCAGATTTTTACTCTTAATTTCACTCTTTCAATATCACTTTTCTTAGCATAAGAACTGATGAAAAAGGCTAAAGCAGTGGAAACTCCAAGGCAAAAATCACGGAAAAACAGTCGGTAAAAATAATAAACTCAAAATCTGCATTTGAGAAGTTATAAAGAGACCAGATTTTGAGCAATGCACAGTCTTTTAAAATCAGCTAAAACGGTCGTAGACGAAACAGTAAAGGATAGAGATAAGGTTAACAGCAAAGCGTACTCCATGAAACATCCGCCCGACAATACTATGACTAAGATGATAGAACATTAGCAATAGCATTAGACTGTTACCTGTAATTAGAAAAACTGAAAAGGTGCAGTTACAGTACTATAGTTCGTCAGTGAAAAGCTACAACCAAATACAATTTGGCACAAAAAATGTCAACTTCAACAAGCCTAGAAATGATAAATAAAGTAGCTGCTATCGCTAATAACAACCATTTAAAAAATGAGTTAAAATAAAACGTAAAAATCTGACAACTTTTAAAATCAATCCCAGGTTTTAAAGCTATAAATCAGACTCTTCAACCAATTTCAAAATATTCGGCGAAATAAACCAATTTATATTAAAACAATCCAACTCCCCTAAATTTACTAATATCACAACAGTTGAAGCAAATTGCTTTCGCAAGTTATAGAAGAACGACATTAAATCATGACAACGCAGCACAGCAAGGCCAGAATTGATAAGCCTAACAAAAAACACAGACACATGGCACAAAATGAAAGACTTCTTTAGAGAATACTAATTAAACATGGCAAAACTCAACTACTTCGGTTTGAGGAAGAGATATTTTTCGTAACAGCTTTTTTAGAAGCAGACGGTGTTGATGTTAAACTCAGTTTACTCTCTTCGACGATTACTGAATTCGCAGGAAGTTTTTGCAATGACTTTGTATGTGGATTTTGGACACCGTCAACAACGCATGAAGTGTCCCTAGAGTTGGCAGAAACAACATGATTATTATCTACTGACCGAACTGAGGCGCTAACTTGGATAGGCAAGGCTAAACTTCTATTCGCATGTGAAGCACGTATCTTGGGTTCATCAGAGGCACCGTAGTTCAAATTATATGTCCCTAAAGCAATCATTTCACATTAAAAAACCAGTTATTTCAACATAATTCTCTGAAAAAATCTTGCTCATGGTCTAACACAAATTTGCAAAGTGAAGAAAGTCGATTTAGTATAAGAGCTTCTACTTCTGATATCTGAGAAAGCATACCAGAATTCACAGCGTCAAGCATTGTAGACTGCTTACAGCTGGAAAATGGGTGGGGACCCCCGCAGTTTTGACAGGGCGTGTTTGAATGCGGGTGAATGGCGTATATCGGCCGAGATACCATAGGGGTAACACTACGTAAAGGCACTGTACGAGGTACAATAAATTGGGCAACACTTGGAGAGCCTAGACCGCCACTGGGGAGTATGACACACGGCGTGGTAGACGTTATTGGGTTCCCAGGAGAACATAATGGAACAGCGGAGGAGTAAGGATGTTGTGATACAACGCAATATTGTGGAAAAGCTGAAGTTGTCATGACTTCCAAGGCCTCAGGAGTTGCATTACTACCCTAAAGTAAGCATATCAAATTCAAAAGAAAGCAAAACGTTGCTAATAGCAATAATTACCTATTAAGCATCCGAACCATCAAAGGAATAGCAAACCTAACTGATAAAGACCAACATAATCTAACCAATGTCATTTGACACAAAGGAATATTATGAGAAGATTTAATAAAACTATAAAATAAAGTCAAATGAAAGAAAAATAAGATGTTTTTTCTCGGCATTACTAAAAGAAACACTACGTAAAGTTAACAAGATGACGAATATCTGAGATTAATCAACAGTATGCTAGCAACCCAGCTTTTAAACAGACAACAAACTTTCGTTTTTTCCGAGAACCGCTGGTTTTGTTGAGTTCCGGATTGGTTAGATGACTCCGAATTCTCACGTGATGAGAGAGGACAAAAAGCATCATATATTACGGGCGATATTAGAACTCGAGCTGGTACGTTAGGCAAAGATCTATAAAAGCTGAGGTACTACAAAATAACAGATTCAGCTTTTAATATTTTTACTGCAGTATAACATTTCATACCTTATGTAATTGATAATTGAATCTGGCGCCTTATACAAATAAGGTATTAATCGACTAGATTTAGAAGAAGAACGAGCTTCTTCTGGAAATTTATCCAACAACCGTGACTGTAAATCAAAGATCTGATCGCCAGTCCGTACAACGTTATTCCTCGTCCCATCGCTCCAAACTACCTAAACACTTTTTCAGTCTGCAAAAAAACACTGGAAGACAAAGAAAATTTGGGCTTCTTGTATTAAAAACAATAAAATTTGGAACATTCACGGAACTAAAAGCATTTATCAATCCTACAGAAAAAAAAAACGGCGGCAAGAAACTATCAGCCAAAAACCAAGTTGTCCTCAGCGAATCTTTAATAGCAAAAAAACGACTCGAACAAAATAAAATCTATTCCTACAATAAAGTTAAAAAATTTAAAGCAGCCAATTTAAGCCTTGAAAAAGTGAAAAACAAAAAAATGCCGAAAAAAGTAATCGCTAGAACTGATACAACAAAACTGCACATTCCATCATTTGAAATCCAAAACTGTTTTTAGTACCCAACATTTTCCAACACTGAAAGACCCTCAAAGAATAATGAGTCGCTGAAGCAAACCGAGATTTAGGCAAAAAATCGAAACGCATTAATTAAAAGAAAATTAAAGAAGCATAATCTAGCATGCAAAAAAAAAAAAAAATCAAATGTTTCAACACAATGAGCGACAGAAGGAACCAAACGATCAGGAGGGAAGTTCAGTAAATGTTGTTAAACAGAGCACTAAAAAATTCTTCCCCTTTATTTAAAATACACTAATGTCATTTGTAAAAAAAGTAAGAAAATTAAGCTCAAAAAACTTAATAAAAATGCAGTTATTAACAAGTGTGCAGCGGGTGAAAACATCGGTAAATCTTGCGGGTCGTGATAAAAGAAACAAAGCAGAGACCGAAACTGAATAAAATAAAAAAAAAAACTAAGAATTTCCTTATCCACCGCTAATAAAATACTATGACATTTCCTAGTTACTAACTTATACTACTTTGGACATTAGAAAGATCTTATGCAAAAACCATGATAAATACTAGAAGTAGAAAGGCTTTTATAGTTCGTAGGTGGAAATAAAGTTAAAAACGGAAAATAAAGGATAGGTTTAAAAAACCGAATAAACCTCGATTTCATACTCCTCTGAAGCTGAACCTTGAACAACCTTTACAACATTTAATGAAGAAATTACTGTAGGTATGACGTAATTCGATGTTGAAGGAGAGCACGACTGCGTTACTGAAGAGCTCTTCTTCTGTAAAAAAAAAAAAATGAAAATAATAAAGTGCGCAAGCTTCATGTTTCATGATAATCAGTAAAAAATTTTCTGTAAAACCATAGGTGGAAACAAAACGTTGATGAGGTTTTTAAAGATGCAATACGTGATTATTTAATAGCAAGCTACAGATTAACTCTGAAATGCTAAACAGATTTTGCTGAAAAAAATGAAGCAATTTCCAAGTGTTTAAAATGCAACAGAAATACCTAACTTCCGTTACAAACAAGACAACTGTCCCATAATGAGGGCAGTAAAAACAACACTGTTGACAAACGACGAAAAAAATTTACAGCAGTAAGGCGGGAGAAGTAATATACATCTTTTTATTTTTAAAAACTACAAAGAATCGACTCAGTATATCAGAAAAAAAAAAAAAAAAAA